CGAACTCCTGAGCTCAAGCCATCTGCCTGCCTCGGGCTCCCAAAGCGCTAGGATTATAGGCAAGAGCTACTGTGCCTATCCCCTGGGCCGTTTTCTTATAGCAGACCATCTCTCTCTGAAAACTGGAAGTGTCTTTCTTCAATTTCTGGGCCAGGTTTTGGGCCATATTCTTGTAGTGGTCATGGGTGTGACACATGCGGTTCAAGTTTTCGTGCCCTTTGCTTAGTCTCTGCTAAAGGTCAGGCAGTAGGTGTCCTCTTCCGTGGACTCCCTCTATGGCCTCATCAAATGTCTTTGGTGCAGTTCAAGCAGAGCGGGCAGCAGAGGCCTACTCCCCCAGCACACTATGCACTTGTGCCGTGAGTTCTTCACTCCTTTGGATTTCTTCCCACATTTGCATGTTTGCTTCTACAATTGCCCCCTCAGGACATTAGAAAGATGCAACTAAGGTCACCATTGTCATCCACACTCTTCAGAGGGACTTGTGGCTAGGACGCTGGGGAAGCACCATGTCCAGCTTCCTTGTTCCCCTCCACTGCCAAGTCCCCATTGTACCACCCTTGAGCAGAGGCAGGACACTCAGTGGGGTGAGTGACAGAAAGTGATATTATTTATGCGATGCCTTGGGGGAGTGGAAAGAGCTCACAATAGCACCTTTGCACAGGGAGGCTATTTGCTTCGCTACAACATTCCTGGCCTGTTTCATTCCTGCCTTGGCCTTTCCTCCTTCTCCTTTTTTTGAGACAGAGTCTCGCTCTGTTGCCCAGGACGGAGTGCTGTGGCAGGATTTCAGCTCATTTCAACCTCCACCTCCTGGGTTCAAGCGATTCTCCTGCCTCAGCCTCCCAAGTAGCTGGGATTACAGGTGCCTGCCACCACACCTGGCGAATTTTTTGTACTTTTAGTAGAGACAGGGTTTCACCATGTTGCCCAGGCTCATCTCAAACTCCTGACCTCAAGTGATCCGCCTGCCTCAGCCTCCCAAAGTGCTGGGATTACAGGCATGAGCCACCGTGTCTGGCCCCTTCTTCTTTGCCTGCAAATATTGCTTCTGTCTCGTAATTTCTTGGTCAGGCAGCTCTGCAGTCTGCTGATGGTCAGTGCCATCATTCAGATAGTCTGCAGTTTGCCCCTGAAGATCCTCTCCACGGTGCTGTGAAGCATGCAGGACGCACTTTGCATCAGTCGCTCGGGGAAGTTCAGGAGGTCTGCTTTTCATGCTTTTTCAGAAACTAACCTAGGTCCTGACAGGAGGACCTGCTCATTTCATTTAGAACCCTCCAGCCTGAGATGCTGGTCGCATCTTGGTCCTGGCCTTTCTGCGGATCTCACCCTGGGCCGATTCTCCCCTTCTCAGTGTGTCATCTTCTGACTGTGAAGGCCACCACAGCATGCACGCCTGGGTCACCCAGGGTATCCATAGGTTCCCTGGCACTAGTCCCAGGATTCTGCACATCACTAGCACTGCCACCCACAGGAGGGCCAGCAGCAGCTGAGTTGGCATGTCGTGGCAACCAACAGGCCCTCTGTGGCTCCCGAGGGCTCCACAGCTCTGCCTCCACTTGCCAGTGGCCTGTGGGCCACAAATGACCACTCGGAACCCTGCGGGGTGTTCCATCTCTAACAAAAACAAGGGCCCATCAGTCACTGTAGAACTTCTATTGGGCTGGGGAGAGGGGAGGCACCCCAAGTTCTAGAAAATTGTGTCCTTGATTTTGCTGTGCAAACAGAAAGTGACATTATTTATGCAATGCCTTGGGGGAGTGGAAAGAGCTCATAGTAGCCCCTTAGCACAGGCCACTCCAGGCCCCACCTGGCCCTACAGCACAGCTAGTGGGTCAAAGTAGGGCCAGGTCATAGCCCCGTGTCCACATGCAGTCCTCTCAGGGTAGCATGGTGGCCTACCTCTGTCCCTGCTGAGGCTCGTTACCAATTTCAAGCTTCCTTCTGCTGCAGGGAAGCCTGGTCCCACCTACAAAGAGTCTGTCTCCCTTGCTAGATTGAGCTCCTTGAAGATGGGACTGTGTTTTCTTCATCTCCGTATTTCCAGTAGCTCATCAATGCCCATTATACACTAGAGGCTCAGTCATTTTTGGTCCTGTTTTCTTGTTGACTCTACTCTGACTTAGGACATGTCACTTTCCCCACTGGACCTCCATATTCACATCTGCCAATAAGAGTAAGTGGGTAAAGATCCTTCTCGCTTTAAAGCCCCTCCAATACACAGACCTCTGAAACCAGAAACAGAAGCTGAGGAGTGGTAAATGGAGCATTTTCCCTGGCATGATGGCTGGGACCTGCAGATCTGGCTGAGGGTGGTATCTTGCCAGTAAAATGCCTCTGCAGAATTTCATCCTACTTTTCAAATCAGACTCAAGGATGATCTTCACTGTTGATAATTTTATGGTTTTTTTTTAAATTTTTTATTTTTCTGAGGCTTTGTTATTGACACAACAGCTTCTGGAAATCTTTTCCACAGAGAGTATGGGGGCTTCTTTGGCCAAGTTGGGTGGGTGCAGGCTCCAATGGCTCAGCAGCCACTGTCCAGGCCACAGCATGTCCACAACCTCTTACTCCTCTTCAGAGGTTTCTCCAGACATTACCGTGTGTCTGGTCATGCCATTCACCACAGGTATGAAAACAATGACAACGCCCCGAAGCTGCGGGATCCTCCCACGGAATCCTGTGCCTTTGCAGGCACAGCTACACGGCGCTCCCGTGCTCCGGCCTGCTCCTTCCAAGACAGGAGCGGGACGTCCAGGGTCCTGCTCCTCCAGACCCCGCAGTCTGTGTGGGCAGCAGGCCGGGAGTGGGGAGAGCTGTCCTGGTAGTGAGGGCCTGGAGCGGGACGGCTGTGTTAGGCAGCGTCCTGGCCTCCAGCGACCAGCAGAGTGACTCGGCTTCCGTCCCCCGCTGGGAGCTGCCATCTTGCCGCCGCTTCCCACAGAAGCACTGAGAGATTGTCCTCAGGAAACGCTTCTCTCCCTCCCTTCCCCTGACTTCTACGCGGTGGTGGCCTCTCTGGATCTGCCGGAAACTGGACGCAGGAAGGGGAGGGGCCTGAGGTGGACCCGGGAGCCTGTGGTCTCTGGGTGTGGCCTTCTCCCGCGGAGGCACTTCTTCAGTCTCACCCTGCCCCCCCACCATATATGTACACATATATATATAATTTTTTTTGAGGAAGATAGTATCTGTGACAGTAAATAGCTTGCTCAGCAGATCTTTCCAAATTCCCATATTTCTGAACACAGCTAGGGTAAGAGCCTATTGCTGGACAGTGTGTCCAAATACGATATGGAAGTTTTCAGTCTCCAGATATGGGGAAAATTCTTTTGGGGTAGGTGCCTGCCCGATATTTACAAAGCCAATGATCCCCAAAAGTGATCGCTGGACTGAGTTGATCCACTTTGTTCCCCCGGAGATGGATAAGAACACACAGGCTTAAGCATGGCCAGGGTCAGGAAGAGTGACTGAAGCCACAGAGGCTAACTGGCCCACAGAGGTTAAAATCCTCCAACCTCCACACTAACTGGCTCTAAAAACCAATACGAGTTGTGAATTAGGGCCTTCCTAGAATGACAGTGATTTCTAGTGCTGTTTTTGTTAAACTCTAGCACACTTCCTGGATGAGAGTGTGGGGAAAGGAAACATAACACTATTTATTCTGAACAAAGCATTAGAGATCACAGAATGATAAATGGTATAATATTAATTGCCTAAAAATGATGTCAATGTTAGCGGGTAGAGTAAGGTTATAATTTTTTAAAAATGCAAATACCATTAGTCTTTCAAAGAATTCTATGCTGGTTTTATCTAGCCCTTTCCCAATTCATAGTCAACATGCTGTCTTTGGAAGTGCTAATGAATGATCGGATCTGAGAGCTTTTTGTGGGCATTTCTTTTACTTTCTTACAACCACTTCAACAGCAGCCAGGCTGCTGAGGGATGAGGGACATCTCTCACTGCATGTTCTCAGGCTTTCAGATGCTTTGCAGGCTGCATTGTGTCTCCAACACAATCTTTTATTCCTCTACATTGAAAGCACATCAATGGAAAAGGCAGGAGGGATTAAATGCCCTAGAACAGCAATATAAAACACTCTGCCACCTCCACAGGGTACACAACCCCATCCTGCAAAGGGAATTCAAATAACCCTTTACCTGAGAGGCTCAAAACAAGTAGAGGTCAAACTTTAACTTGCTTTGAAGACAAAGTGCAACTTGTTCAAATGCTACAAGGTCAAAAGTAGCTTTTTTAAAAGTCAGGGCAATGATTTAATAGAGGAAAACTGTCTAGGCTGAATTTGGAAAAGTTATAAGCTATTCACTTCAGATCTTCTTAATATCCTGATGCCTGCTTACAGTATCCAAATTGTCAGCAGGGAGAAGTTGTATAACTAGAGTAAATTTTTCTACTGAGAATGAGACAGGCTGCAAAATATCAGGAAAGACTCAATTATAAGGATACTAACATAAGACGGTGACTTGTTTTTTGCGGGGAGAGAGGGGATAGGGTCTGGCCCTGTTGCCCAGGCTGGAGTGCAGTGGCACGATCTTGGCTCACTGCAACCTCCACCTCCTGGGCTCACGCTGAGGCTCAACCTCAGCCTTCCAAGTAGTTGCGACTACAGGCGTGTGCCACCACACCTGGCTAACTTTTGTATTTTTAGTACAGGCGGGGTTTTGTGACATTGCCCAGGCTTGTCTCAAACTCCTGAACTCAAGTGATCCACGCTCTTGGCCTCCCATAGTGCTGACATTACAGATGTGAGCCACTGCACCCAGCCGTGACTTTATTTTTCTTTTCTTTACAGAGCCAGGGACTCACTATGTCGCCCAGGTTGGTTCTGAACTGTCCTTAAGTGATCTTCCTACTTCAGCCTCTCAAAGTGTTGGGATTACAGGTGTGAGTCACTGTGTTCAGCTGACATTTCTTAAATGGTCCACAATGTTGCATTTTGGAAGTCTTTAAGAATTACAGATGTTGACTTCTGAACATACCTACATACCTGGATGGAGAAGATAACCAGATTTGCTTGTTTGGCGTCTGCTTGTTGATCACGTAGGTTCCTAGATCTCCACCCAGTTTAACAGTTAAGACACCACTCTAGGGGATTAGGTGGAAAAAAGCATGAAGAAATTAAAACAAGAAAAAGTTAGCACTTTGTCATCATTGCTTCATGTTTTATCTCAACACTTTCCATTTCTACAAGTACACAAAATACACCATAAAGAAATGTCTTTAATTTAGTATTTAGAAATAGGAGTTTGTGTAGGAAGAGCTTTGCTTTCAGAATCAGAATAGGATTAATCATAATGATGTTGTATCTCATAGAGCTTTGCCTGTTCCCTGTGAGGTCTGCAAGGAGAGAACGGTGATGGAGCTCGCAGAGTTAAGTGACCTGTCTGAGGTCTTGGTGCTGGCATCTGGGATTCCTGGATTGTTGCCCTCAACCATCAACCAGAACATACTAGAGGACATAAAAAATGCAGACTCTAACTCTATTAGAGTACCACGTCAGCCCAAACATCAGACACGACAAGTCTATTACAGAAGAAGTAAAAGGAAGGAAAGGAAGTACGCAAACCATCTGTTTTGCTTGTCTTAGAAGAGCATTAGCTTCAGCTCTGTTGGTAGAAGGCAGAAACTCCAGATGAAGTTTTTTATTTCCAGACCCTTCCCATGCCTCTAACAAGCTTCTCAGATACTCCTCCAAGGCTTTATTTTTCTCTAAAGAGCCTTGAATTCTTCAAAAGACTGGTTGGTCCATCTTTGAACAATAAATGCTCATTTAAATTTTAAAACACTCCTTCAACAAAAGAGTCCTTTACTTCTAAAGCCTGTGGTCTCTTTAAAATGGGTGAGATATGAAAGAAACAGCTACAGGGCTCAGTTCCCTGCATTGGAACTGGTAAGCAAGAGGGAGCCTGCTGTTCCCCATCTTGTGCATGACTTGCAGAGATACACAGCAGCAGCCTTTTTCTGTGCATTCTAGAGCCTCCATCCAATCGAGAGGCTCTGAATGATTCTTACAACACACTTTTGCAAATACAGAGAGCTATTTAGGCCAGGCGTGGCTCATGCCAGCACTTTGGAAGGCCAAGGCAGGCAGATCGCTTGAGCCCAGGAGTTCCAGACAGGCCCAGGCAACATGGCAAAACCCTGTCTCTACTAAAAATGCAAAAATTAGCCAAGTGTGGTGGCATGCGCCTGTGGTCTCAGCTACTTGGGAAGCTGAAGTGGGAGGATCGCCTGAGCCCAGGAGGTTGAGGCTGCAGTGAGCTGAGATCACACCACTATACTCCAGACTGGGCGACAGAGTGAGACCCTGTCTCAAAAGCAAAGCAAAACAAAACAAAAAACCCAAAAAACAAAGAGCTATTGAAATTCCAGAGCGTAGTAACAATAATAATATAACTGATAGGAATGGGACAAGGGGCACTACTGGGTCATTTTTTTAAATAACATCTTTTTCTGATTCAAAAATAAATGCATAGAAATGATGGAGATGTCAGCAATGCAGACACTGATAAAAATATTAACCACTATTTACTCAGTTCCTACTGTGCCAGGCTTGGTGTTTGGCACTTTGTGTAAATTGTTTCCAACTTGACTACAATTCTTGGAGGTAGGATTCATTATTCCAGTTTCACAGATGAGAACAGAGGTTCATAGTAAAGAGTACTTAGTAATTGGCAGAGCTAATCTTAAATCTAGGTCTGTGTGGGTCCAAAGACACTGTTCTTTCTATAACATGAAGTATTTTCTCGATCCCATTAACCAGAGATAAAAGATATTCACTCTCAGGTATTAGCTGCCAGTTTTTGTTTGTTTGTTTTTACAACAGGATCTTGCTCTGTTGCTCAGGCTGCAGCAGTGGCAGGAGCATGGCTCGCTGCAGCCTCAAACCCCTACCCTCAAGTGATCCTCTGCCTCAGTCCCTGCCTCCGGAGAGCTGGGACTACAAGTACCACACCGGTCTAATTTTAACATTTTTCTTTTGCAGAGATGAGGTCTCGCTATATTGACCAGGCTGGTTTCAAACTTCTGGCCTCAAGTGATCTTCCCACCTCGGCCTCCCAAAGTGCTGGGATTATGTTACAGGTGTGAGCTACTGCACTCGGCCCCATTTTTTTTTTCTTTTATTTTACTATAGTAAAAAGCACATAATGCTAAATTTATCATATTAACCATTTTAAGTGTACAGTACAAGAAGGCATATTCACACTGCTGGGCAGCATAACTCTAGAACTTTTCATCTTGTAACACTGAAACTCTATGCCCATGAGACACTAACTTCCCCATCCCATAGCCCTTAGTAACCACCTGTCTACTTTCTATGATTTTGACTTACCTTTTTTAAAATTGAAAATAAAAATTATACATTTATGTTGGTGTTTCTATGGTTTTTGACTACTTTTGACTACTTTATGAGTGGAATCATAAGTATTTGTCCTTTTATGACTTGACTGCCAGTTTTTGAAAGCATTTTTTTAAAAAAGGACTAGGATTATACCATACATAAGTTTGTTTTAAAGACTTTTTTTTCCCTGAAACCCATTTTTACTGTTTTGGTATGACTATATTTCATTTATTTAAAAGTTTCTTAAACCTGAGGCCGTGTGTGGTGACTCACGCTTGTAATCCTGGCACTTTGGGAAGCCGAAGTGGGAGGATTGCTTGGGCACAGGAGTTCAAGACCAGACTGGGCAACATGGTAAAACCTTGTTTTTACAAAAAATTACAAATTTGCTGCATGTGGTGGTGCGCACCTATAGTCACAGCTACTTGGTAGGCTGAGGTGGGAGAATCACTTGAGCCTCAGAGATTGAGGCTGCAATAACCGGTGATCATGCCACCACACTTCAGCCTGGGTGACACAGGGACTTTGTCTCAAAAACAAATAAATAAAAGTTCCTTAAGACTGTACAATTCAGGAGTTTTTAGTATTTCACAAAGTGTGAAAACATCACCACTATTTAATTCCAGGCTGTTTCCATTGCCCCAAAAAGAAACCCTGCACCCATTAATACTCACTCTCTATTTCCTACTCATCCCATACACAGAGTTTTATAAATGATTTTTCCATGAGATAACAGGCTCAAAGAATCAACACACAATCATTGGTAATCTGTCCTCTTTGTGGCCCTTAAATGCTCCAATTGTGTGTTGCACCCTATACTGGGGGGGCACCATCCAGCAGAAAGGGCAGAGGACTGAGTAAAAGATGCAAGTTCCAGGTCTGGTCTCATCACTGATCAGCGGTGCCTGTCTCCCATGATGTCTCTCCTGCCTTCTTCGAGGACTCAGGGCAAGAACTAGAGTCTGATGCATGCTCAAGGTCTCTGCACTTGCGTCCATCACCACAATGCCTCAGCACACAGCAAATCAGGGGGTGCACATACAAACACTGAAGCCAAAATAGACTCTTTCCTAGTGGAATTGGAAATCTTTTGAGTGACTCCAGGCATCAGGCTACTCTTTTGCAAAGGGCATATTAATAAACAAATGTGAGAGCCCTTCTAGCTCCACACCTCTCAAGCTATTTTCGCCCCGTCACCTTCTCTGCAGTCCACTTCCTCCCTCCCCACACGAGACCCGCTCATCTCTACCCTGATAACACTCTGTGGGTCCCACTGCCTCGTGGTGCTTCCTGTCTGCATTCACAGCTGCCTGTCTGCTTGCTTGTCCCCTGACCTCCACTACTTTAAGCACCTTGGCAGCAGGAGATTTGTCTTTTCATGCTAGCATCTGCAGATCTAGCACCTTCATTCCTCCTGCAAAAAGGACATTTGTGGATGAATGACCAACTGGTCAAACAGTGAATGAGCGGATGATGACCAGGTAGTGTGATACCATCTGCCCAAGTTAGGACAAGGTTCCACAGGGCAGAAAACCCCAATGCTTAACTTCCTCCCACCAGTCCGTTCACTGTAATTAGATGTTTTCCCCCACAGATCTTGAAACTATTTTAGAAGGAAAGTGGTGGCAGGAAAGAAACTAGCTGCATTAGTTCAGCAGAAATTCTTAATGCTTTTGGAACTGACTCCAAATAGACCAGATAAAGAGGGCTTTCTCTTTATCATTATTATTCCTTAGACAATCTGAGTCTATTTTGGGAGTGTGCATGCCCTTAAGTGCAGGAGGAATAGTCAAAATATGCAGCAGTTTCTGAGACACGGGCACTAGTCAATCAGCACAGACAGTGGCCACAGCTGGTGACTCTTATTGACTCCTCCTAGTCAAGATCAGCCCTACCCATGTGTGAGCCAAAATAGCGATTACTGTTGTCACCAGCTCACTTGTAGAAATAGACACATATAAGATGGCATGTTGAGTCTGGAGACTTCACATACACATGACCTCCTTCATTTCTAAAGCAGATACCAAATTGCTAGGATGCGTTTTTTCCCTATGTCATTTTAGTTGATCCTCATATAAATCTGAAGAGCGGAGGTTAATGTCACTAATTTCATAGCTGAGGAACTTGTGGCTCACAAAAGTTAGAAATTCATTTAAGGACTCTTGGAAAGAAAATACAAATCCAGGATGCTAAGGCAGATTCTTTGTCTCCATATCCAATAAGATGGTGCCTCACTGGGCTGGGAGCAGTGATCTATGCCTGCAATGCCAGCACTTTGAGGGGCCGAGGCAGTTGGATCGCTTGAGGTCAAGAGTTCAAGACCAGCCATGCCAACATGGTGAAATGCTGAAACCCCATTTCTACTAAAAATACAAAAAAAATTAGCTGGACATAGTGGCGTGCGCCTGTAATTCCAGCTACTTGGGAGGCTGAGGCAGGAGAATCCCTTGAGCCCGGGAGGTGGTGGTTGCAGTGAGCTGAGTTCGTGCCACTGCACTCCAGCCTGGGCAACAGAGTGAGACTCTGTCTCAAAAAAAAAAAAAAAAAAAAAAAAAACAAAGATGCTGCCTCTGAGCAGAGGTTTTTAACTTGGGATTAAGTGGTCTCAGGGGGCTGCAAACACTTACAGCCTTGAAGCTGAAATGGTATTCCTGAGTGTGCTAAATGAAGTGTAGCCTAAAACTGCCTCCTTACATATTTTAAGTTTGGATCTAAGGGCTTCTCTCTACTAGTGAACTGTAAT